GCATTTTATCTACTCAGAGCCTTCTGGGTTTAAAGACGTTCAGAAACAACTAGACCATCTTCCTCCGAGCAAATAACAAAAGGTTTAAAGCATGCTGTGGTCAATCGCGTAGAAATAAACAGTTATTAAACAACACACTTCAAACATAGCCTAAATGGAAACCTACAATTATAAGGTTTTCATAAAACCAAGCAGACAAGCATGTGTTTTTTGATACACTGGAGTTCATGATTCAGAAGTTTTAAGTTATTACAGCCACTTATACAAGCTTCACAACTCTAATATGCAAGAAGAAAGGATCTTTAAGTAATAAGACCTAAGAGTAGATGGTCTTTTCGCGATTTCTGCTGCGTTCAGCCTTACCGTACGTCGTTTACTGTTTTTTCGTTGCCAGCTAATCAAGGTACAGTAGTTGATTAAAAAGGTTGCACAGGTCAAGTGACTCACAAAAACAACGAATATTGGCGCACATTAACGGTTCAGATTGATGTGCTTTTAACTAAACAAAAGTGTGATTGAAATGAAACCCTTTGTGTGAAAATTGTTGACTTAATTCCTTTACAATAGAGTGCCGTTGAGGAACTAGTTTAAAGGTCATTTTATGACTTTAGTCAGAGGACTGGATTGTTTGGGACATTTGCCAAATGATTCTTCGTGGGTAAAGTCAAACTCAAAAACGCCGATCTTCTTGTCATCAAGAAATTTCCCACTCTATGAATTACTGTGCTGCCGTCGATTCCCGGGATTTGAGCTCGCAAAGGAAGAGCAGCTCGGATTTTAGTCTGATTCTATACCTAAAATTGGGGATACAAAGACGCATTTTCAAGTGCTTAGGTTAAGCTCCTTACTCGTTTTAAAAGCATCTCAACGCCTCATTTTCATTTCGCTGATGGGTTACACAAGCACAGCCGCTAAAATATCGTAAGGGTTTGTACAAAACAACAAGTACTACAAGGCCAAATTCGCCATTCAAAACACCAAAAGTGTAAAGTGAAAAAATGAAGCCAAATTAAATGATCGCGTTTTAAAACAGCTGTAAACAAGTTAAAACGCCCCATTTCATGCGTTGAACTAAAAATCGGGAGTTTACTTTGTACATTCAATTGGCAGTGCAACACGTATGCACTTCTTTTTGAAGTATTATAAATGTAACTAAGCCTGTGAAGAATGACAGCCTTCCACTACCGAACATTTCATTGTAACGAAATTACTCTTTAGTTGCGTGGAAATCACGCAGAGAATGGGGTCAAGCTATGGATGTTGCATTTCTTCCACGCCATACACGCGTGATAGACGGCGTGATGCTCCGTTTATAAACCGGTGAGAACAGAATGTCATGCACCAAATCCCAAGGACCCGTACAATTACTGCGTAGATCATCAAGCCCTGACGCCAACTCTCAGTGAGAAATTTCCCACTGTTTTGGTCGCCAACTCTCACTTGCCTACAGACGCTAGCAATGTGGGCCCCTAAAATAATCAAGGGGGTAGACTAAAATCCTTCGGATTAAATCGATTTACCTAGGCATGACCTTGCAGAGGTAAATATTTGTATGGGCATTTCTATTTGATGGTGGTGAGCCTAGAAGAGGCGCAAATGGTAAGTTCCACTCAACAATCTTTTAGACTGCAAGTTACATAGGGACCGACAGAAAGCACATACTTGGTAATTATGTTGAATGCCTAGGAATCACGTCGGTCATCTCCTCTTTAAAAACGTCGATTTTCTTCACGAATAGGTGGCATGACTTTTAAGACTAGTACGCGCTCGAGCAAACCGTGGTAATAAACAGTAAAGACTTGATTTGATAGCCACAGTATACGAAAGTACGATACTTCCATGAGAAATAATTCTCGTAAGATAGCGACAGAGTAGGCCAAAAGGATTTCAATTAACTCGCAATTTTTACACTCATTGCTCTCTAACACTGTCCGCTGCCTTTCGGTTTAATTCGATGATTTTCAATGTGTCCATCACTGAATCCTTTTAAGCTGTCGAAAAAATGGTTTAACCAATTATGGATTCGCGTGTTAACTTTTGAAGACCATTCGAAAACTTCTTATAAGATAAACAAGAATCAAGATGAGTCGACGATTGGTTGAGTTATATGGGCTGGATGACCTCCTATGGTGAAGGAGAAAGGTGTTTGCGTTTTCCGGTCCAAGGTCGTAGGGTTTTGAAATGCGAAAATAGAAACACGGAATAATGCTCCCCTTCGTTAACAAAGTACTTCTGGTGTGCGGAGGTCTTTGACGTCATTTTATTGGCTAGAGTTGAGCGTGGTGGTACTTAGTTCTGGTTTTTGCACAAAATCACAAACCTCAGCATCATTTTGACCGCAGAGACTTGACGTAGGCACGGAGACCGCTAATAGTGTTTCTTATTTGGTTGAGAGACTTTGGCAGTGAGCATTCTCAATCTGATAATCCCATTAAGCGCACGGATCTACACCAATATTGCAGACGAAACCCTCAGAATGTTTCAAAAGCCTGTCACCCATAAGCATACCACTTTTGACTTTTTGGATTTTAGTAGGTTATGCAATGTCCCAATTCCCAATTAAAAATAAACCATAAGTTTGTACGTGCAAACGAGATTTGCATGGTGAAATTTACAAGTTCCGGTGTTTTAATGCTATATGCATTTAAATTCAGGAAGACGTTCCAGTGGTGACGTGTACTTTTAAATCAGTAGCCTTTTGTAAATCGGCGTACTTCGAGACGTTGTGTTTTTCACGCGGCACCTCATAACCAGCGTTAAAACTTGGTAAAAGTATGCATTAAAAGGTAAGAAATGATGTGCCCTGAATTTGGGATCAATTTATTAATTCATTTTGCGATTTTATTCAAACCAATACGGAGAAGAAAAGACACCAGTATTTCGACAAGATGAATGAAAGCTCTCAAAAACAATGAGCGTATGACAAACAGCAATTTAGTAGTTTATAATGGGAAGACTAAAGTCTCCTTTTCACCTTGTATAAATGCGCAGCGCAGCAGCGCCAGCCCCAGCCCCAACGCGAGAGAATTTTTTGTCATGGTGATTGCTCGGTCAAGCGAATAAACAGAGAAGAGACATCTCTGACACGCGCTGGACAGACCCAATACGCGTGATTCTGAAGCTCGGAAACACCCAGAGCCATGTGAATGCACTTTTAGTCACCCCTTTAATTCACATTACCCTATCACTATTTATTGCACTCGTGTGTGTACGATCCGACGGCGGCGTGACTTTGATCGGCCACTTTTTAATTGAACTTTTCGCACTTTTGTTTAGGTGACTCCCTTTGAGGTACCGCGGCCCAGTTTGCCCGCTTTCGTCTTAAGTTTGTGCATACGTAGTCGGTCTCACGCAAGCAGTGGCAGTGGAGTGAACGAACTCGTCTTCTGTGATTCCGGTGTTTAATTTGCGCTTAACCACTTTCTAGTGATTTATTTTCACCCTTTGTAATCGTTTTAAACTAAGGCCTAATTGTGGCAACATAAGAATCTGAAAACCACAGGACATGAATTGACATCGCCATGCCAAGAACAATCTGCACCTCCGACGTAGGGCAGAAATGAGAAGAATTTCCCTTTTGTTGTTCATTTAAATCAAATCGAGAAATATTGGTAGAAATGACAGTATAACTACCTTGTGCGAGACTTTCGTTGAAGGTCATGTGCAGATCTCATCGCTACATCGCTTAACCTTTATTTCAATCTGATTTCGAACTTATCAGTGGTTAGACTGGTTTACTGACCTTAAGCGTTTACTGGACTTAAGAGACTTTTAGGTGTGTGAACCCTGGGAACGTTCATTCAAAATGTGTGCAGTAGTGACCTTAAGTGGAATGACTGTTGTGATGTTTTGCGCCTGTGCGGCTACTGGTGTAAACGATCAAACTTCTTATGTCAACCACAATGTTGGGACATTGCCATGCCTGCCTTGAACCGATGGAAAAGGAGTCGATTTCTGAGAAAACTTATACGAATTGTAATAGGATCCGCTCTCAGCGCTAAGCTAATCCCGAGAAATGAGAAAATATACACGCTCGATGGGTTGCATAAATGCCCTAGTGTAAGGCGTTCGACATTTTTAAGCAAATGCAAGACGACGCTTCAATCAAAACTAAGTAAGTAGCATCAAAGTTAAAAAATACGGCTGTGGCCTTGCGTAGCAAACCCATATTCCTAAGGTTAGTAGATGTGTTAAGGATGTGCCGCTTGCAAACCTTACGAGAAGCGCTGCAACAATTCAAGCTCTCAAGGTCCTACAAATGTGCAGAATGACGTTCTGTACTATCACCAGAAAGGTGCGTAACCTTTTTCTCGAAAATTACTTAATGGCATTCAGGACGTTAAAAATGCCACAATATTTGGGAAGCTAGAAAGCATGTGCCGGAATTTTTTCAGTGATTTTCCCATGGAAATTTGGTCGAATGGCATAGGTTATGACAATAATTGGAGGGGTGATTTCAAAATTGCGATTGCGGCTGAAACACGTTGAAAGCTAATTGTCTTCCATGTCGCCAGTGAGGGTGTCTTTGCAAGAACAGATAAAGGGGACTAACAAGTGGTCTCCAAATCGAGCCTTGTAGATGTATCAAGAGTATGTAATAAAAATAAAATCTGAATTCCGCATAACACTTTGTGAGCATAGGAAGAGATAAACAATCTCCCCTATAGTAGAGTTGAAGCATATGTTGCAGGACACACCCTATCAGTGAACCGAAGCACATGGTTAATGCTACGTTGGCAAAGTCATACGAATAATGCTATGAATTCTTTTCAAATGAGTAGTTTGAGAATTTGATTTTTCCCGTTTAATGTTTGACCTATGGACTCGTCTGACTTTCCATCGGTTGCAAAGAAGAACAGTGATAAAGTGGAGTGAGTTTTATTTGAGACTCACGAAAGTGAAGGGATATACAAACGAGACTCGTTCTCCTCAGACAAAAACATAAAAATGCATACAACTTTGTTGACTATACAAATCCTTTTACAAGATGGTGACGATTACTACCTGATCCCAGCTTTAAAGCGAAAATCGTTTAATTCATCCTCATCGGTGTCCCCACTGTCACTACCGTCATCTTCGTTTACGGAGTTGATAGAATCACCTTCGGGTTTCACGATTTTCTTCTTTGATAAACCAGCTTCAATTTGCATCTCTAATTCACGAAACTTTTCCCACATTGAACTGAAAGGCAGTGCAAATACATCTGAAAATCGAAGAGTTCCGTAGCGGCTCCGTCATTTAATGTTATACTACTTTTAATAATTAGTAAGTAAATGATTTCGAAAATCAAGGTCTAATTCTGTGATGAGTTTACTGGTCGATCATATCCAAAATCTCCCCAAAGGCAACCAAACATGAGAGTAATTCGCAAAAAAGAGCAAAACCCGGATTCGCTAACAAAGGCTAAACTTGCAGTAAACAAAAAAGCGAGCTAAAAAGCTCAGAAGTAGTACCAAGCTTACGGCCACCTGAGACTGGTCACGATAATGGCAATAACTACACAAAGAATCATAGTATAGCAAATGCGTTTTAAGAGACGAATGTAAACAGTATCTTTCCGAAATTCCAATCCCACGATATAGAATAGACAAACTTGTGATTTAAACCCGGTGTATAGATCTTCGGTAGGATAGAAAACTGCGCAAAATGCATTGACTGGCTAGCAACCACAAATGACGGTAACAGCTCAAGCTGCAACATTTAAAGGTATGTGAATACAGTAACCCCAGAGGGTATAAGGAGTCAAACTCAAAGCGCCTCTAAGAACTTTAAAATATCTAAAAATAGGATGAAATTACTGACAGCGAATGTAAGCGCAAATAAGTATCATGAATTGTCCAAAACCATAGCCTTTCAATTAGTAGGGAAACTCTATGTATTCGATTTTAAGAGCACTACATAAATGAATCCTTTACAACTATCGAGACTTGAAAGCTATCTGCAGACAAAAGAGGTTTAGGAAAAAAAGTCAGTAAACATGTAATCGCACACGAAATAATCTCGATCGTCAATAAAATCGAGGAATTTTGCTAAGTATCAAGTGAAATATGTACCAAGACCAAAAAACAACTCAAGTAGGAGCTAATGGCGCAAGAAAATCTTAAATCTAATGGAGATCTCCAACTTTAGTAACTAGAACGTTAAATAGTCACATTGGGTAGAACTCACATTTGCTTATCGACTTCTGCTAAATTCCTAGCAACAACCATCTCTTCGTTATCCTTTTCAAGAATTTGTTCCGATTCCTAGCAAATAAAACTAACAATGATCAACTGCAGTTAGCAGTATTTCACGATATGTATTTAAAAATTGAAACCTGATCCAAAGTTCCCAATTCTTTCCGAAAGATCTCCATTTCAGCATCCATTTTATCTTTGAAAGGCACGTTCCTAACTTCAGCATCCCTGCGTGCATCATCAAAAAATCCTTCTGGCAATACACAATTCTGGGCTGCTACTTCTTCCTTGGGTTTAGACTGAGAAGAACTTGGGAGCTCAGGTGTGACCTCTTCTTCCTTCTTAAACTTCGAGTCTTCAACTTGCGACTCCGCCACCTCTAACTTAAGTTGCTACAGATTTATAATTAGGAATTGATTAAAGAAACCAACTTTTGCAGGTGGTGCGCAGTCCCTCACTTGAGATTGAATACGCCTAAGAGAATCTGTACCGCGAATGGCGTTCTATGCCGTGAAGCAGATCAAATTACAAACATACATCTTTGTGAGTTTTGCTTAAAATATGAGCCTTCCAAGTTATTTCTGACTTGATCGGAATGCCACAAACAATGCACGAAATCTTTCCATATGAGTTGTACCTTGCATTCAAAATTAGCTGTGCGACACTTACTTAATGTGAGGATGGTCAATACGCTTACCACCGGTCTTGGATGCTTTCAACAGCAACCTTGCGTCCATTGGTCAGTTCCACAAATCAAATATAGGCTAACACTAACAAACAATTAAAACGACATTTAGGAGGAAAAAATCTTACGAAGAATGCCCCCAAACACTTTGTTTTAATTTTCCCACGACCCGAAAGTCCGCAGCTCTACTGTTCTCTCAACTTCCTATTCTGCTTCGAAATCCATCTTGACGACGCCTGCCAACATGCCAACCGCACCACCAGACTCCAAGAGCCTACTCCTTAACCCGCATGAGAAAATTTACTACCCATTTTGGTAAATAACCACCTGTACAGTCCAAGAGACCCAAAACACCAAGCACAATCTATAACCTGACATTTTGCAAGCGGGCCAAGAAAGACAGACAATCGCCTGGAAGCCGTCTATTAAAGAGATTATGACATGCAATCATAAAAAGGGTGCCAAAGTCGGACGAGAATCGTCTGATAAGAAAAGCCACCTGGTCCAGAAGATATTACAAAAACAACCTCAGATATCCCTCTAAAGGAGAGGAAAAACGGTTCAATTTAGTTTCCACGTCCTCACGCAAGCATCATGGCCTGTGCTAATGAGCTCGTTGTCCGATTTCCATACCAAGGCAGTGATCAAATTGCCTGGATGGGCATCTGCACAAAGTAAGAGGGTAAACATTTATGTCGGCATGGTCAATTACAGTGACAAATACTTCAGAGACTGTTTCAATTGACTAAAATGAGATGAATGCTACACGCTAACGTACTGCGAACTTCGCAAAGCTTTGAAGAAGCAGTGGGACTGAAGACCATGATGGCGCAGTCTAGCCCACCTGTGGCAAAGTGCCGGCCATCCGGCGTCCACGCTACACAAGTAACGCGTGCTGCGTGCTCACGCCAGTCTCTGAGCTGCATTAGCTTTGGACCGCCTTCGGCCGTGGCTTCGATCTGAGGTGAAAAAGGACAGAAACATCGCTTTTGGTCAATGGTGTTGAACACTCTTAAGCAATACTGGCGTTTTCACAATTAGCCCATCAGGCTTATTCTATAATTTTTGCTATTTGTATGAATGATTTCCCAAAAGTTTTTACATACATCTGAATCCCACCGAAACGTATGATAGTCATTCATTGTATTGGGATGTTCGAGCTCTATTAAGCGATAAGGTTCGTGGATCAGTGTCGAGAACAATAAACACCGTTCAACTTAAGTCGGTAGCGCAGAAAATCTACTCCGATTCTATGTGCCAAGTTAGTGCCTCCAGACCAGAATCAAGCGACTCTTACCACGCCCCTCACGTCGCCAGCGTTACATTCATCTTTTCCATCCAGATTACATAACCTGGAGCAATTCTAGCACTCCAAGACAAGAGAAGTAATTCATGTGTGGAAAAATAAGAATTAAATTAACGAGGACGTATGATGATCTCATTAATTCGACTACTCAACACCAGCAGGATCACGTTATTTGGAGAGGGAGGAGACTAATTAATACCTTTTTCACTCAATTCCAATAAAGGCATCGTGAACAACTGCCAAAATCCTTGGAAGAGAGAGAAGATGCCAGATTATGTCAAGAAGTCTACAGAGTCGGTAAATTTGTCGGAACGAATGAAATAATCACTGCGTATTTCACAAAGAACCAAAAGGTTTTGTTGCTTTTATCAAGAACAGATTGATTGAGAGAAAACGGACTAAAGGGCAAGCACTCAACATGATTGAGTGAGGCGACAAATAGCTTACCTTAAATAAACGCAAGTATCGGTCGGCATCACCCACAGCAAGGTGGATACCATCGGGGGAGAATGCCATAGTGGTGCATTCCCCAGTTACCTTCTCTCCCCCTTTCAACGCTTTCAGAGTTCTACCTTTCTCCGAAACTTCGAAGAGTTCCACGCAACCATCCTAATAAAAAGATGATTAAATCTGCACCACACTGTGAAAAGTCTAGCAAGCCTTCAAATTTGAAAGCGTGGGACGTGTGCATGGTAGATTCTTGATAAATGCAATGCTTATGCGATCTCATCCTGTTTTACATTCTAAAACACAATTCTGATCCTCACCGACACAAATAGAGTAAGGCGAATTTTGTACCAACCATACATATTATTTAGCTGTTAAATTTCCTCCATACCATAAGAACTTAAAAAGCAACAAATACTGTTCATATGAATAAAAGATAATGCAAATGTCTTATTTGCACCAAATGCACACGAAGTGGGAGCTGACGCCCATACCTAGGCGGAAGTTTACCAGGTCTCGGCGACTGCGTTTATTAGCAAAAAAATTTGACATACACACCTTTACTCTTTCCCATTCATCATGTGCCAAGAATAATATGTCCCCTGCGCAAACGTTGGTTAATAAGGAATGGGTCAAACTCCAACATTGGGCTTAAGCATATAAAAATTAGAGGTGCTAAAAGCTTTAATATGTTCATCAATTTGCGTTAGTGTAGTGTAATGATGGACAGGAGTAAGCGTTCATACTTAATCCTGCTATCTACTTTATCTCCAAGTCACAAGACGGTGGAGGTGGACGAGAGGTGATCGAGACCGGTCGATTTACTACGGCCAACCGGGCCTTCATGGTTGGGGTCAGGCTAATGGCTGCCACAGCAAATTCAAGTGTAGCTGTCAATAACTGAAGAGTAAACGAATTTATCCCGAAGTCAGGACATTTTCCATGCCATATACATATGCAACAAGGAATCATTGTGCTACACAGGAAGTAGGATCAAAACTTCTAATAAGTATCCTAACATTTGTATACGCTGAAGAAAGTTTGCCAAAATAGCTAAGGAAAAATAACATGTTGATGGTTACAGGGTATATAGTCCTTAACTCGTTTTGATGAGGTCACATTGCACCCATTTCATGTCCCGAAAATTGGCTTTTGAGTGTGCATAATCTACCTGAACTTTTGGAAGGGTGCAAGGTACGCAACTGGCCAAAATGAATACAAAGATGCTCGAATTAGTTAACTATCGCCAACAAAAAAAATAAGCACTAGGAAAAAAGATCTGTTTGAGGCCAATATTTTGCCTGAGTTTAAAAATATTCATGCTAAATAGTACGAATTTTCGCGGTCTACAAAGTTGAAGCAATTTGACTAGTATTTGAGGAGAGAAAAATACAAATTCACTAGTTACCAAAATTAACAGAAAGGCGCATGATTGGGAGACCTTTTTCAGAGTGCCGGATACAATCGAAGTATGAAATCCGCCTTCAGTAAACGGTAATCGATGTACTTGAAACTATGTTAAAAACCTGTCACAAAAAATGCTACACACTACAACAAAATTTAAATAAAACTTACGCGCTGGTGACTGCATTTGTACACTTTAAAGCTACAGAAAGTACGCGTAGACAGATGCATGTAAAGCTACCTACCGCCTTGCCAACGGCCACGAGATCTCCATCCACAGTTATGCACCCAGTGGTGGCATCAGGACAGATTTCAAGAGTTGCCAAGGGCGACGTAGATGAATCTTCGCTAGTCAGTGAGAAAACGTAGAGGTGTTTCATGCAGATAACGACAGCCAGTTCCTTGCCAGCTGCCAGACAAAGGCTGCGCGGTTGGGAAGACACCTTGACAGAATGTCTGAATTGAAGAAGCATTGAAATAGTGGGAGTAATGTGAGCTAACGCGAAAAATGTGAGAACGCTACATTATTATGCATATAAAAACACGGAATGATTTTTCGTTTGATTATTTGTGAGAATATGGACGACGAAGGCTGTCGAAGAATGCATGATCAAATGAGTTCCATTATGATAACATTAGTAAGGTGGCTAAAGTTTTGTGTAATATGAGCTCGCAAAGCTTGTTTGCAAAAACAATGCTAAAGTTTACGATGAAAAATTTAGTACGCTGAAATAAGTTTCAAAAGCGATGACTGCGTAAAAGGGAACTCAAAAATAAGATTTTTTCAAATTTCTCGACTCTCGACACAGTAACCATTTATGGATAATAAATTAGGGTATTAAATAGAGCAAACATTCACAGATCAAACACTAAGGGATTAAATGCCACCATATATGGAGCATGAATATGATTGGTTAACTATTGCCCAATAAGAAAAGGGGACAATTTAACAAGGGCTAGCGAGCGTCAAAAAAATACCCATAGACAAATTCAGGCCCACTTTTTGGAGAGGAAATTGAAGTCACACGCTAACTCACAATGAGACCTTTTATGAGGCTAAAGACAATAGAAACTCACTCATAGGTGCGGTTGGAGAGCGAGCTTGAAACAACACGGTCATCAACGCCCGCAGAAAGGACGCGATCGCCGCAAGTAACCACACCATTGATGGCCGACTTGTGGGCTTCCTTCCCTTCAAAGGGCTCGGCCAAACCTGATAGCAGGTTCCAGCGAACCATGAGCCCATCGTACGATGCAGTGATAAGTCGCTCGCTTGTGGTGGAGTAGCAAGCGCGCTGAATAGGACGAGAGTGACCAAATATCGTACCCGCTGGTGCCTCCAACCTGGAGCAGTCGTCCGCAACGTCAAAGTAGGTCATAGCTCCACTCAAACTGAGAGTTACAATCTTGCCTACCGTCCAAACACAGCCCAGCTAAAAGGAAACAGTGGCACATGGCAGATGTGCCTCAGAGAGAAGGAGCAGCATTTAAATGATCCTGACCTGCATGTTATCCAATTTGTCCTCAAAGACGTATTCATGGAGAAGATCATATGGTTTCTCACCACTCCAGAGTTTGATTTTCTTGTCAGCAGACACAGAAATGAGTCGTGCACCAGAGGGGGAGAAATCCAATCCGTAGATACCTCCCTTGTGAGCGGGCGATCCCAACTCACAAATGCGATCACCAGAAGTGGCATCGTAGGCAAAAATCTGCGAAGATTTAACAGAGATATGACAAAAGAAACCAAATTACCTTTCCGTCCGAACCTCCCGTCACAAAGATGTCACCCTTGGGGGAAAACTTGCAACATTGGACAAAGTTGGTGTGATCCTATCGAAAATAAATTTGCATAATAAAGTGTATTTAAGAACCGGTGATTAATTCCCATAGATGATATAATTTGTGCGGAAAAACAGCATTAAATAGACCAACACAGAGTGGAAAGCTAGGTAAAGGCATATTGTGATATTGCGCACGAAACATGAACATGTATCATAGCAAAGCATTACCTTCAAGCTCCTTACAAATTTGAAGGGAGGACCCTCAAAAAAACAAGCTGTGAAGTCCTCACTTCCGGTAACTAAACGGAATGGTCGAGTAGGTTTAAAGTCAATGGAGTTAATGACTTTTGACATTCCAATGATTTCGCCAACTTCAGTGCCCATTTCGGCGTTGATTACCTTTCCAAACCTAGAAGAATACCGTATGCAAACACAATTTACTTCTCGCCACCCGCACCACCCACTGCTATCCGCTGGTTATCACTCGACCAACAAACATCGTTGATGCTGGCCAAAATAGGAAATTCGTTTTTGAGTATATGCTCCTTCTGAGTAGTATCCCAAATATGAAGTTTCCCTGACTTGTCTAAAAAGCATATTTTTATCTTTTTAAGGAAATATACCGCCAGATGCTACGTAGAACCCGCTAGGAGAGTATTTGGCACATTGTACGTCAAAACTATGACCCGTGTACATATCATTGTCCATTTTGGACTGAAAATAGTCAATAAGGATAGCGTACCGAAAGATCGCGTATGATGACATTCTTCTTATTTGGATAAACGATATAGCCTCCTTTCGGATGGGCTCCGATTATCACATGCTTGCCTCGTTCAACGTATGGTACGGAAGGATAGAGCTTGTCTGAAAATTTAAGCCCGACATATTGTAAGATATACCAAAACTTAAAGGCATGTCCGCAACTGTAACAGACAAAAATAGCTGGAATACGGAAACACCCCGATCCACACCCGAGGAAATAATTACAGAACGACGCGCCCAATTGTTCGAAAAAGTAAAATTTACGCCATCGATATAAACAACTGGGAGCGATAACATCAAAGGCCATGCATTCGAAACTCAAAGTCCAAATATGATTTTAGGAGTCAGAAACATTTACATTCTCCTATAGATATGCCGCTGACAAGCAACGCAAAAGGTTTTTAATATCTTTATTTCAAATGAAAATTATCTAATTATTACTTGTTCGTGCTTTTTGTGCCTTATTCGAAACAGGCTAAGTCTACAGTTCAAAATGTTTATCCGAACCCGTACTAAAGACCTAAAAACGACTATATTTAATGACGCATAAAACTCTCCGTCCGATTATAGTGCCTCTAGACTTCCACAGGGTAGAAGAAGGCAGTAAGTGGAGGTGAATACATGGAATCCAGAAAGAACAAAGGAACAAGGCCTTGGTGTGGCATCAAGGCCGTTCCATGCGCATAAGTACCAGACGAATATTACAGTAACCGCCAGACATCAGATAGTCATATAAACACAATATCACGCCGATTGTTAGAACATGTTTGGTTGTAAAATGTCTTCATAATTCTGGCTAATTAGCTCTTCAAACATCTGAAACAAGGTTTGAGGCATCATGAGACTTCCTACTGGGTAGAAGAAGGCATTATTTTGGACCCAATTTATGTATCCCATGAGGACAATAAGGGATTGATCCTTGGCTTGCCCCAAGACCAGCCTGCGAGCACAAGGACAAGACAAAACAAAGGCCCACTGACAAATATCAGGTGGTAACATAAACAAAGCATTACAGCGTTCATCACTTTTGGGTAGCTAAATGTCTCTGCCGCATGTTTGAACCTTGAGTCGGTAGACCGTAATCGAAGCATGTGTATATAAACAGCCAAACAAAGTAAAAATCACCATGGGTATACGAAATTTTGGGCAAATCTTTACGAATAAACTAAGGGAAAAATATAGGCTCGGCTTTTGCAAGGAGGAAAAATAATTTTACTTAGGCTATTCTTTTGGTGAACGTCATTGTAAGAGCTGCCTGTCTACCCCCTGGTCCTTGAACCTCAGACTTCAGAAGAGAGTTGTTTGCAGATGATTTATTAGGCATTTGTTATAGGAAGGATGGGGAATGGGATGCAGATGAGGCGAGTAGGATTTATCAATTGGAGGGAGCCTCCTCGCCGGCTTCACGCACATGATTCGCGTTCTCAATTGGTTCCCACCTCTCACCTATCAAAGTACACTTAAACAAACTGGTATATATTGCAGTCGTTATACCATACGTTTCAAATAGTTTTGAATTCAAGTTTGGTTTGGGTCCTCTGTAGACTGCACAGTCTAAACATCCGGTAATAATTCTATGAAGCTTTCGTCCAACCTACAAAGACTGCAATCATTATCGCAGTCGACGATTCACTGCGTAAATTTCAGCTAGCTTGAACCAGTGACAAGACAAATAATTTTTCATACCAATAAACTTAAAATCTTTTATGCCAGTTCGTTAGGTGAGCAATCTCATCACTGTTTTCTTGAGCCTTCCATAAAAATGGATGCAAGGTTCCTAAACTTCCTGTTCGGTAGTAGAAGTCATCGGGTACGCCTGCATACTTATGTCCAGATAAAAGACGTAGAAGTGAGGCTGTGGCCTGGCTAAACGGCCAACCCACGCTGCACAAATGAGATGGCAGTCAAAGTGGCCACCGTAATATACAGGTGGTCAAATAAACAAAGTATTGCAATGAGAATCTCTTTCCATCCCCTTTCGAATTCCTAACTTCCACGTGGACGCAATGTTGTTTATCGGAGTACACTTGTTCCCATATTTTGATTTACCTACAGCGTGTACATGCCACTAACAATACCATGGCTGTTAAACATCATGCTGTAGATTTTTGCATCTCGGAAATCAAGCTGAGGAACTCATCACAAAGATGGCTCCATTTCAGTGAGCTGCTTATGACACTAGTAAAATATATATAGACCTGTTTTGAATGTTGGTAGGGCATTGGTGGAACTTAGCGTTTTGACACTTTTAACTGTTTTTAACGCAACGCGTAGATTTGGCATTGGCCGTATGCTGAAATTGAACCAGTACTCACGATATCACTGCCTCTTTTTCGACATTTAATAATCAAACCAATCTAGGTGGTAAAGGGTATCCTGCCGTTTTTACAAATAAACTGGTTGTAATGCTGTGGTATAGACACATCAAAGCAATTACTATGTAGTGAGGAATACACTTTTGACAATAGCTAGAAATCATTTTACAAAACGAAAGGTCTTCAGGTCTCTAAGTCTAGGGCTATCAGAAGGCACTGTGCTATCAAATTAACTACCATCTTAAATTTACCACACAATTTTTCCTGTTTTAGGAGACAAATTCAATTTGAATTCTACATTATGGATTAGATAGACCACGTCGAAAGTTCAAGGTTACAGGGAAATAATGCCACCTTGGTCGAAACCGAAGTCGAAATAGAACTCTTGGAGATCGGTGAGATGGGGAGTGAGTAGGATGAGAGAGAAAGTAGGTGGAGTATTGTTCTTTACAAATAGGTGCAAAGTATAATGAAAGGGCCTTGATAACTCCCTCATGAGGGTCGGACAAGTCGCCAACGGAAACCACGACTACCAATGGCGGCAAAAATCGTCCATGTGGGCGTAGCATGGGAAACCTCAGAGAGGTCAGTGAAATGCTCTGCAATAAAGGCGCTGGGATGGGTCAGGAGGCGGTGTAGAGTACCAGGAATCCCTGCACAAATCGTCATGAGGGTGAGAGGGAAATGGCGCAACAGCCACGGCGATAAGAGGGTCGTACCAGCCAGCAAGACGGGCACACCCAGGGGATGATTTAGAAAGGCTTCTTGGATTGTCATTGTTAACTCTCGCAGATGACTGTCTGGATGCTCTAAAATATTGTTCGATCAAAAATATGCGTCTAAGAGGCGGTCATGGTTGCTCAACATCATTTGTCCAAACACAAAGCTATAGACAAGGCAGTGCGATATCATCAAACTGATTGGTTAGAACTGTAGCAATTTTTTTGAGAAAAGTTCTTGTTTAACATTTCAAAGTGCTATAAACCGCTGTAAACTTGTTAGATTAGAAGTGCAATGCAGTCTATATCCGAAAGGTTGGTACGCAAGTTCACCAATGGAAGGTGAGCAAATTTTGCGGTAATAAGAGTCCGCTTATTAATGGTAATTTTTTACGAACTGAGTCCTAAGTGAAAGCACCAAGTTTTGCAGCGGTACTGCCTTAGAAGTCTTTGTTTATGTTTAGGAATGTCGTCACATCTAAAGTCCTCTGAAATAACACCCCATAAGTTGGTGCTCTTGGCGTTATCAGAGAATTTATATGCTAATCGGATTAGCAATCTGTATTCATTTCAACAACACTTTAGCACATTCTAGACCTACTACGTTCTCATTGTTCAAAGTAATAGGGATTGGGGTCATTCGCTAGTACAAAACAATTTCCCATCAGGTTTATGAACGTATCCTCGCAAATCGTTGCGCTCATTTAACGCTTTATTTCTCAACATCCAAAGCCTCATGCATAAAGGCCCTACATTTACTTCGTTTCATAACTGGGGTAACTGACCCCTAAATTATGAGTTCATGATTTGTATTAAAAAGCTATATTTTTACGGTTTTGAATGACTCGATCCATTCGTCTTAAATTGGGCTTCAAAAAGGGTTGCCAATAGTAACCATAAGTATTGTCGTAATTATGCCTCAATGCCGTTTTATAGTGCGAAGGAAAGCCCTTCAGTGGAGGATTTTCAATTTTTGTTGATGACTTCCCTTTCACAATCACCTAAGTCACTTAGTAAATACATGTAAAGCGTATTTTTACTGCTTTACACTCGGACGAGTTTGCCAATTACCTAGTCTTACTCTTTTTAACTTCCCAAACGAAATAAAAGTTAGGATTTCAGTAAAGGTTATCAAAACCTAGTCCACAATGTTTGTCATGGCCGTAAAGATAAAATGCTCTTAAAATCTTACGGAACGCTTGTGACATTCGCATGAGCAAGGCCATAAGCAGCCCAAATTATAAAAATCAACGATGGCTAATCTAAACAGCACAAGGATTGGACGTACACTTCCTTTCAACTTAGCGCAATAGATGCGACAAAGATGGTCTAAAATACGATAGATGGTTAACATAAAGACGCAAATTTGGGTATTTCGAGAATATTGTTGCTAATTATTGGAAAGGTTCCTGTTGATTAGCGTTAATTGTCACTGTATTAGAGACTCCTTGTCAAAAAGGAGTTACCATGTCATTCTGGGAAATAGTCAGCATGACAATAGATCCGTCGGCAATTTTGGTAAGATACCGTGTAACAAGAGTCAACATGGAAACCTGCCGCTGTTTTGATCAGTGAACGCGCTAGCGAAATAGTTTTATTTGTGAAAATAAAGAAGTGTTTTATGAAATCTCTGAAAGGAGCAAGATGGCAATGGTTCGCAAGCCTGTCACTGCATGCTAAGTCATAGCGTAGTTTATGAGGGAAGGCCGGGATTGGCTAAACGTCAGTCAAGAGGACTGTTTGAGAGAAATCATCTCCAGCCCGATTATCTCAGTGTAGGCGGATAAAAAATAGGTCACATGCTACAAACCTATCCAAAGTGAGATAGCACATAGGTAAAAAAAGTTGCCATTGGCATAACGAGACTCCTGAAAATGTTGAATAGGGACGCACTTTTCCTTTTGAATAGCACAGTGCTGAAGAATCTACTAGTAAAATCATGTTAATGGTGCAATCGAAATGGCAAGCATTAAAGATGTGAATTTTCAATTAGCAGGTAATGACATTTCGCCTTGCAAGGGTTATGGTTTCGCATGCGCTAAACCCGGTGGGAAGATACTTGTTTACAAACGTTTGCATTCTTCAGAAACTAGCTAACATATAATCAGTATTCCTATTAATCTTTTGCTGAAAAAAGCAAGAGAAAGATGAAAAAAATGATTGGTGGCCAGACATTAGTGCCTCCAGGAGGAACAGGAATAGCTTCTCACGTCAAGGCGCTACCCTAAGTGGTTCAGAAGTTACACTACTTAACTAAGACCTCCGTAGCAGTTGACAGTTCATTCCTTTTTACCCTCTCAAAAGAAGGTGAGTTGATAAATGCAAATGTCCAAATCACCCTTAATGCCAGTAGCGCGTCTTGCAAAACAACTAAAATTGGTCACTTGAATAAAGGCTGGACATTTTAATTACTTCCAACTCTCCTTATTTTCAGTCGCCTTGGGGACGCGAGCTAGTTTTTACGTGCGTTACTTTATAAGCCTACAACGAATATAAAACAACCTTCTCACAATTTAAGTTGTACGTCCCAAAGCAAAAGAAATACGAGGAATAATGGGAGCAGATAGAAATTCCCGCCTTGACCAGTTCTTGGTTTTTAGTTGGGAAGGAACTAAGTCTCAAGTGCATCGGAGTCGTCACATGGTAGGAATGCCCCAAACCGTAGAATTCAGCATAAATTGGCAAGTTGATTTCTGTCACAATGGACAAACTCTAGGGCTTGCGTATCAAATTTTGCTTACTGGAATTTTAGAAGCCATGTGAAATTTATTAGGCTCCGGTCATAACAATAGTGGAAGAGGCACCTTAAACAACAATGTTCACGCCTCAATACTTAAACTGGGTTAACAAATAATTTGAAACTACAATTGCCTGGCTTCTGTTTAGAGCAGAAAAGTTTGGAAGTAAAAAATATGGGAATGTACAAGTGCATACGCTTATTTTGACTCGATCGAATTCCTTCAGATCTCACCACGTTATGCGTTTTGGTGGAGAGGAGCATCCTCAACGCGCATGACTTTTGGCATGAGACTATGGCTTCAGAGGTGTGGCAATGCCATGCAAATGAAGTACCATACAGCAAAAAATATGGCAGATTTTATATATCGTCGGTGAACGACAGATCCAAATTCATGTATTCGTTCAGCCCCTAGTGGCAACACCGTCTTGGAAGTCTTAGAACATGCGTTGCAGTTTTAAGAGGCGTCAACTGAATCACCATCCTAATAAAAAAGACACGACTTGTTCAAGTGAATGCACACTCGGTTTTTAGTAGACTTAAATTTACACTCCTGAGAGTGTGTTGCTCCTTCACTGCTTCATTCTATCACAGACGAGCCAATTTGCATAGGTTTTGCCTCTGAGCTTCATTCATCTTCAATAAAGCGTTTTCTGCAGTAATGCTTCAGGCACTAACAATATCCTCCCATTAAGTCGAGAAATGCAGCTGATGGATTCTTAAAACATAATCAAAGTGGATTTATAAACACAAAAAATCAAATCTCACGTTACGTGCTAAAACTCGTTTAGTCCAATTCTTTCAGTTTTCAGGGTAGCGAACCCTATTCTAACGATAAATGGAAGGCGACATTTACTAAGCCTTAAATCTAACTGTCGAAAGATTAGAGATGTTGTGTTCTCCAAAAAGGATTAACATCGACGGTTCGAAAAACAGCTAAAATATAACGCTTTAAGAATGGGAAATTACTAGTAGCCACACCTCTCCAAAAAGTTTCAAAAAAACAATTCTACATATGAAAGACGTTACAATTTCTGCATCCTAAAGTGGAGTGCCGCTCAAAATGTCTCGCCAAGATAGCAAAACACTGGTTGTAGATTTCCAAGCATTTGGAAAGGCATCAATGAACCCTCCTCACATTGAAGGCTGCAGTCTAACCGTATACTTGGAGCATCGAATTCACTGTATGTAGAATCAGTTCAGATTCCTTCGGACCACAAATATTTAAGATACAGCAAAATTAGGTACGGGTTTGCTTAGGGTTCCTCATACTGGAGACTTTCAGGTAATTTTCGTAAGCAAATATCATTTTAAAGAGATCAAATCCAAAAACGCCCACCGGCAAAGTCTTTCTACCTGTTTTTCATGAAGATTGAGTGGAAGTTAAAGGTATAATTGCGTAATTAACGTCAACCGTGTATGGTTCGTTCAGCAGAATGTGACTGTCACTATGCGCAGTCTGGATAATAAACCATTCATAAAAGCTATTGAATATGAGTCCCTTCTTACCAGCATTTAGAGAGGCCATCGAGTAATCATAGATAGCGGAGAGATAGCGTGGAATATAGGCGGTACCTAAAGGCAGAAATCGCACGCTATAGAAAGTGGTCCAACGCATCAGTTTAGCGAACTCTTTTTTATGACTTTCAAGGAGAAGGGAACTATTTCACTCAACTCGATATATCAACAGCTATAAAGAACCAAATTTCCAATTAAGCAAATTTTTTAGGAAAAATACTGGACCTCGCCAGGCTAAAATTAGCACAACTGTTTAATGCTGCATCTGAAACACTTTGTTCATGGATTAATCAAACTTAGCAACGACAATATTGGACTATGATGACCATGCCCTAAAAGCTAAAATCGCCTCTCATTGCTTGGATTACAGTTATGGCAAACAGTTGGCACTCCTAGGAGAAAAATTGTTTTAATATTTTGCGGAGTACTCTGTGAGTGACCTAAATTGGATTAGAAGTGGATTGTTTCGTAAATCACCTGTCAAGTCCTCAGGTGTAAAACTCGTAAAGGGGCTCTCCATTGCACCTTCTAGCAAACCGCTAAATACCTAAGAAAGACTGATCTCCAGAACAGCATGAAAGGCCGATCTTGTAGGGGGTGTATCTACTGCAGTTAAGACAAAAAATTCTTACAAAGTAGGCTGAAATAAATAAATAAAAATGGGATGGAACCTCATTAGAAATTCTCGGTAACCCATATAGTGTCCCAAGAACTTATTTGGAATTTTCTTATTTTGCACAAATAGGGGAATTTTCGGCTAACTACTTGCAGAAATGAGTTAATTTAGTCAGTCCTTTGAATGCGAAAAAATGTATTTAAGCGATCAAATACACTTTCACAGTCAGAAAATTAAGCACATGACGTCAATGGTGGGAACATGCGTAAAAAGCACGAAAATGTTACCACTGTTTCGTGAGTGATTTTAAGAACCACTTTTGATTAAAGTCATTAAGATAAAAGTTAAAAAAATTTAGTAGCCTAGTAAAGCTACAGAGTGTTCACTTTAAGGCAAAATATTTATCTTACAAATGATTAGGAAAAATTATTTCCGGTTGGTGAGATGGATGAATCGGTCCCAAAGGCTACGTATCGTCAAAAACACTGCAGATTAGTCCATGATGAAAACAAAAAAGCATCGTAGGTATGTTCCACTCGGAAATCAATTATGCATCGGGTGTGGCCAAGGTTTCACGGGGCTTTTCTAAGAATTTTCTTGTTCATGAGACAACTGACTTCATGTTCTTCTAAACGGCATGCTGAACTGCACTGGCATTTGAGTCTCTAGGGGTTCTACGCTCTTGGAAACGTAATACCAGGCGTCAAACTCTTCCGCCCTTAGTATTATGTGTTCCGGTGCATTATCTTATTTATTGCTACGATATAGATAATTTGGGGAATTAAAATTAGTGCTGAGTCTTCCTTTAACCCATCTTGCTAAAATCTAAGCTTACCTTTCTGGGATTCTGACTGATGCCGCAAGAACTTGTTTAGAATTTCAGCAACACGATGCTCAGAGTCAAGTAAGAACGCAAAACTCTGAATGGAAACTAATGACGGAAGCAGAGTGCACGCCTTTAAGTTAGCAGCATCCGCCAGGTGATGGGGTTTGCACTGGAGAGTTGGCGTTTACTTTCTTGTATGTCTAACCGCAAACATTTAAACGCCACCTCGCTACAGCTCATTAGCATACGACTTAACACTTGTAGCACAAAAACGCAGCTTATCATAAAATGACTTCAGCCAGAATAGAATATCACTTTTGCCGGTTGTTGATGCTTTGGTAGTCATTTCATCCTTAAGTAAAAATGCGATTGCTCGTTCTTAGAATAGTGAATGCAAAGTCGTGGTTACCTACCCAAGTTTGCATGGAGTGCACGTGTTACAGGTACATTTTTAAACGCACAACTTGAAAACTATAAGGTCTCGTGTGAAATTACAAGCGCGTATTTGATAGCATGGAACCTGTTAAACGCAATGAATCGTGTGACTAGGCTTGTAAAAGTGGTATGCGGATGCATCCACGAACGAGCAATGCATTGGCATTAGGCTGCAGTGTCGGTTTCAACTCAATTCATGTACTAACAACACTATTTAAATGCCTTATTAAAGCCGTCAACCATCTCATCATATCACCTTGCTGAGTTCAGTCCCATTCAGCAAGAGGAGAACACGTACAAAGTCGCCCCCTTCAAATATGCGCTCTAAATTCTGTGTGCACTTCAACAAGACAAACGGATGCAATAGTTTGTCTGTTACGTTGCTATATCAACCATGTTTTATGTTTAACTCAAATGATAGCCTACAAAGCCCCTAAATAACAAAAAAGCTTTTCGGTTGGCGGCAAATGTCTTACTCAGATTGAGAATGGCAATAGAAATGCATGGAAACATTCTTCGAAGACAAGCCGACTCCTTTTCTTTGGCAGCAGACGATTTCATTGTCAGAGCTGAGGCAATCGTTAGGGTAACCTAAAGAGCGGATAGAGGGAATAGTCAAAACAAATTGGAGGTTGGCAGAGGCTACAATCCTACACCTGCGCTGTGATGTTCTCCATTTGTCCACTATACTTAATTTCGTTAAGGCAAGATAAAATCTTTTATATGTAGGCTCAGACTTTAACCTTCGTAGCTACAAAAACATATAACATTTCGTATGAGTTGTTTTTAATAAAATTCGTGACATTAAAAGTTGTAAGTTGGTACATTTGGAGTTTAAGCGCATTCTGACGAAGGCACTGCACTTTAGGATCAAAATTCGCATGCGAGCGTGTTAACAAATGATTCCTGTAAATTAACTATTTTACATTACAAACACCGCCAACGAGTAACAATAGGATTTCAAATAAGGGTGCTACAATGCGCAATAGAAACAGCAACTGAAGCCACTCAAAATCGACCTAAAGGCAAAGTTCCGCTTTCGCTCGCCCGTACCTTCATGGTAAAACCTTTCCTCAATCAAATGGTAAAATGAGAATCCTGTTACTGTAACTTTGCTTTTGGTAAAGCCAGTATTCCAAAAGGAAAAGCTGGAACAAACACGCACAGGTAGCGGAGGGCATGCTGCATATGAAACGTGCCGTGAGGGTCAAGGTAGGGTCACCAATGGCAAACCTGCTAATAGTCTAACTAGTGTAGATCAAAAATGATGTGCTAACTGCCTTATCAAGGTCAGAACCAAGGACTTTCGATTCCCTGCCATGTCACAAAATCTCTTTTCGGTCAAAATTATGTTTCACTAATACAATTATCTTAATGAAATGGATAAGTACTTAATGTATTTGTAGCAGTTTCTATTCATTTTCTAAGTAACTTTAATGCTTTATAAACAGACGAACGATCAAATGAAATTTGATTAAAACCCATTTGCAATAACCTCTAAAACCTCATTGCAGAATGTTTTTTAACGCACTCGCATAGGGGAAAAGGTTCAAACTTTACCGAATCTGCAAGGCTGGGACATTGGTCATAGGTTTTAACAGCGCAATGAATAAGCTGAAGGGTTTCAGGTGTGGGGCCTTCCAGCATCTCGCGCAGAACCTTGCAAGCTTCTCGACTTGAAGCATTATTCAAACAATTTCGGTCAAAAGATATTGAGCGGCGAATTGGATTAGGACATACATTTTCCTGCAAAGCACGACCAAGGTTACGGCCGTCGGAACCTGGCAAACTAATTTCGAGGGAGTCTGACTTTTCATTCAGCATGACTTCTTTAGGAGCAAGCAATTCACAGTTTATTGGAGTTTGTTGGACGTAAATCTCTCGTTCTGCTTCCATCCCGTCATCATCCAATCCGAGCTGTCCCGGTAAGACGTGGCCTTCCAAGTCGCCTCCTGGAAGTGGTTGGTGACAGAGGGCCGCTACATTCTCACCTGGAATTATGGGTGAATGGCTTTCAATACAATCTGCTCTTGCCACTGTGATTGACTCAATTTGGAGCCTCTGATCGAAAAGATTTTGTAAAGGATCATCTTGACACCCTGGATTAGCTTTCTCTTGCAAAGCCGGCTCATCTGTGACGTTAGTGAAAGATTTGTCAGTGGGTGGTGCAATACTTTCTTCCGATGGAAAACCATTTTTCGAAGTTTCTGCTTGCTCAGTCATCAGCAAGCCACTTTGTGCACGCAATGATGCTTCTACCGTTTTGCTGGAATCCTCTAAGCCGGAATCGATGGACTCGTGGATTTCAGAATGCTCCTCATCGGGTTTTAATGCTTGTTTTTTTTCCGGTATAGAATCTTCTTTGTCCATAATGAGTAGTTTATCTTTATTGTCAATCTGTTTAACAGTTGGATTTTGATCGTTCAATACGATCATCGAAGGTTGCATTGACTCATTCATGGATATAGATTGTTCCTGCAGTTGATTATTTATGATTTCCGGTAGCTGCAAATTTTCATCAAGTAAGGGCGTTTGTTTAATCATGCATTTATCTTTGTTTTCGAGACTATTCTGACTGCAAAAGATAGGAGCCTTTTTATAATTATTTTTCTCAGGGGATGAAATCAGTGCTTCATTAGGAAAGACTTCGATGCTCTTCTGTAATACTTTGTTTTCAGGGTTACTCTGCATGTTATGTATAGAGTTACCTCGATCGGCAACAAATTCTTCCTGTAAATTTGTTTCAACAAGTCTAATATCTCTAGACTCAAGAGCATATTCCTCGTCCTTTTGATCCATGCCTCCTGCCCCATTTTTTAGGCAACATTCCTGGGGAATTTGTTCATCTAGTTGCATACCCTGCAAAAGTTCATGCTCTAAATTTTGTACTTTCTGCAAATCTGTATTTTCCGTCAATGTCAGTGGGTAGGTCTTCTGGGTAACCCTTTTGTCAAAGTGGGTGCTATTCACGTCCTGCATATCTCGGGCCTCATTACTCCTTTGGTTTATCTGCTCTTCAAAACTTTGAATGACACCGACATCACTGCGCATGGAGAAATCCTCTGGTAACTCAACTTCGTAGTCTTCAGTCAAAGTTGGATCTTCGATTGATACCGAAGACGCCTTTGAGTCAGGATTCATAATTTGTGGGCGCAAAATTCGGTCTTTCTTGGCCACTGTTTCGCATGCTTTCTGGGCTGTTAATGGAGACATTCCCGGCCTAACAAAAATTTCCTTTTCTTTTGCTCTCCTTCTCTCTGCGTAAATGACTTCATTGTCAGGATCCTCATCGTCAACGAATTTTAAAGAGCCATATATTGTAGCTATATTCGTGGAATTCGTGGAATGCATTAGAGAGGCATCTAGACTGCGTTTTTGCAAACGAAGTCGATTCTGACTGGTTTCAAAATGATCCAAACAGGAGGGAGAAGAGGAGGAGAAGACAGTGGATGGTGATGTTGCAAGAGAAGTTGATTGGTGAGGATTGTAGAGGCTAGGAGAAGAAGAACTGATGTCTGTAGAAAGGTAACTGAGGTTGCTTGCGATACCCGAATCGCATCGTAATTTTAACCTTCGACCATTGCCGAACGTATTTGCCTTTTTCTTACAAGGCGGAGAGGAAAGGGTACTGTAAGGAGAATTTCTCTTATCCAACGAATCGTCATCAATCTTGACCTGGAGAGTGTAAGTCTGTAATGTTTTCCTTGGTTGAAGGGAACTGCTAATTTCTGGAATGCTGACACGAACTGCTTCTGGTGTTTTCACGATTATATGTTCCATTTGTTGGCTAGGTGTTGGTTCAGTCATTAGCCGCTTTTTCTTTTTCATTTTGAATCGACTGGGAAAACAGAAGTAATCAGCATTTTTGTATTCTTCATTTCCAGTCACCGCGGAATCTGAGTACCGTCGTTGTTGTTCCTTCTTTGCGCGGGGCTTCTTGTTCTGACAACGAATGAAATTTCCAAATAGACACATATCATTGAGTGAAGAACTCCGATAGTCATTCAAATTATGTTTCTGTTGACGAAAATGGGACCGAAAGGAAAACGCAGATGAGGAATGCACGAAATGTGATGTGGGAAATCCCGTTTTGGAAGACCTAATGTACTCAGGAGCGCAGCAAGGTAGTTGCGTGCCATAAACTTCGCTTTGGATTGGTGCCTTTGTTTCGTCCTTTGATTGGTTAAGAGGCATTGAAGTCATAGTCTTCCTGTTGTCATTGGCTTCCGCGCCTGGCATTTTAACTGGTGGCTTTTGTTTAGACGGTCTCGATCTTTTCGGTTCGGGAGTTAACGGAACTTTAGCTAGAAAAAGTGAACATCGTAAAAATTTTTACTATTCTAAAAGTAGCGTCCGATTTTCACAAGAGGATTTAGGCGTAACAGCAAGCATTTGAATTTTATTTGTTATAGGCAGTAAACCTGTGCTCTTTAGTTCTATAGTTTGTCAATGAATCTCAAAATAATGGCCAAATTTTAACTATGGTTAACCCATCTCCTAGGTCATGAACCCTTTTGGATTTTTCAATCAGAAAGTAAATTAAACTTAAATGACTTATAATTTCATTAGGATATCTCATCGCTGCGACTGGATGTCAGTCTGGAAACAAGACTTTCCAAAACGCGTATGAACAGTGCGTCCATTACCACGCACTCGAGCCAATTTATCACTTCTGATATATTTGTAAAGCAAAACCAATCCCTTTATTTTAAAAATTGCATTTTTCCCGAAAGCAGCAGAATTCCGCTATGGCGCGATACTCCTTTTCCTGCATCTCTCATGTGTTACATAGACTATGATGCTCCACAGTAGATGCTTGCCTTCGTCATAAAAACCTTACCAAGTGGGAGCGCCCAAAGGGTGAGCGTTAGAGTTGCCTGTAAAAGGCACGCTTAATTGGCCATAACATTCATCAAACCTCTCAAAGCACCGTAGATTTTTGGTTGTTATGCGCATAAAATTGAACAGTAGGTACACTCGTGAGAGCGTATTAATATGTTTTGCTTGCAAGACGATTACAAATCCGATCAAACTAATATATAAATTAAAATACAAGACATGTAATGAATAAATAAAATACTTGGCTTAAAAATAGATGTACTTGACTTATGTCAATGTTGTCGCATTTCGCGATTTAGTTAAAGGTAGTCAATTGAGGAGGGGAAATTAACATACTCCTGTAGGTCAGCTACTACTCTAATTACAAAATGCTTACCGCTGAATAGGTTAGTCTTAAATCAAATCGCAACATTTAGCTTCATTGTAAGGTTTCGTCGTCATAGCAAATAGGACACAAAAATGTGTTGTTTTTTTCGGGCGGTCATAATCAGAGCCACTACAAGGATGATCAAGAGTTCAACATTTCTTATTCCAGTGCATTCGTTGAACAACTGTTCCACGTCATGGACTTGCAATGAGGTTTAATAAAAGTGTTGTGAGTCAGAAACAGAGCAAGATTAACTTATTTTCATGCTACTCATATTTGACAAGTAAATACGTTGTATGGCAACAGTGATGAAGAATTAAAAAATGAGGTCTTATTGGCGTATTCGCTGTAAGGATACTTGCTGAAGCTGCAATTTTGTCGTACTTGTGGGCTTTCAGCTGAAATTTGATATGGAAACACAGTGCGACAATCACATTTGAAGCATACTTGAGTAGCACTGAACTTGCTTTTATTTTCCGAATCGGCAAAATGTGGGCTCTTTTCACTAAACTTATGCCTGAAGCTTCCATTGACACGCAAAGAAGGTGCAGAATTGGCGTTGTTTGACCTCATTATGGAAGTACGCATTTTTTAAGCCGTGATTTTGCATGACTAAATACGCAGATGGCAAATGTGTAACAACTTCGAAAATTAAGTTCACACCAATTTGCAGTTTAATTATGCAGTGATGATTAAAGGCTCTGGCATGGTTTGAAATTAGTAAGCATTTTTAAGTTGCGCCAAAGTGGTTCAAAAATTGAGCAGAAGTTTGCAAAATTTTGGACAATTTAGGCCAATTTTTTGGGCGATCCGATAACTTTACAGTTAAAAAAATAATGGCCTTAGCGAATTGGGACGTTGTTTTGCTTACACTTATATTAGTGCTAAATTTTCCCTAAACATCATAGGTCGCGTCTTTGGGAGCCTTCGTAACTACTACAATTTCTTGTACTCTTACAGTAAGTTGCTGCTGTGAAAGCTTAGTAGCTCTCACTCTCACTACTCCATTCAGTCCCAATAGCTAACTGTTGGTATGCGCTAAGCGGCTAAATATGGTAGCGACTGGCCATTTTTAAATTTCATGCTTGGTTTTGACAGTAGTGACACTGCCGGTATAACTTTACACTTAGCCACGTCTTGATACGAAAGTTTCGAACTCTATTTAAGCATAACATGCACAGACCATAAAAATGGTTGACTCATGGGACTCAAAAACGCTCATCATTGCATACATCTACCGCTTAGAATGGTAGCAGAGGGCGTTCCAAAAAAGTGCCTGGAAATTGGTAATGTGTTAGAAAATACTTGTAGCAGCCAATGCTTCGCTACACACAGTTCGAGGCCTTAGTTACCTTGACGCTTTGGCAGAAATTACGCCTACTTCCACAACGCCTTTCTAAGACGGCACTGAAAATTTGTTTATTTAAGACCTCTATCTTTGATCGGGCTATTGTTCTCTTAAGGGTCCTAAAACTACACATATACCCTTAAAACCCTTTTAAGGGATTTCAATAAGCTCACTCAATTATTCACTTTAGCAGTCTTTTATGCTGAATCTGGCCAAAGATGTTTAATGCAAATGCTGCCCTTCCGTAGACCACTAAGTTTGGCCTGGGCACTTGACACCAGTACTTGGCTGGCATCTCACAAAACAGTCACGACATTAACTTACTCTGAAGTGTTCCCATAAGTTTATCCCACGGACTTTCAGGGGAACCCCATTCCTCCTTGTTCAGGGGAAAGGTGAGCGGTTCATTGGCAAAAAGATCTTTATCGAATATCTTTTGTCCTACCGGTGGACCTACGTAGAGCACAATCCCACGATTACGCCAGGTAGGTCTAATAGTAAGGAAGACAAGCATTCGAGGGTAGATAAGATCAAGGCATGCAGCGTTTGAACCAGACGTAATGAAAATTGTGTAATCCGAGTGTCGTAAGAACCTCTCTTCGAAATCACTAAAGCGCATGTTCAGAAAGGCCTCGCCATCATGATGTGGTGTGTATGACCTTTCGCCGAGAACAGTAGACACTCGGTCACACAGAAATTGGGCGAATTCTTCAGCCAATTCATCCTCAAGACTTTCAGAGTGGTTCGGTGGGAGAAATGTGTGTGGAGTGAGGATGGTAAATTTGAAGAGCCGCTCGTTTTGGTTAGAGGGTGGATGCAAAAGGTTTTCCGGGTGCATTTTGCACGCTCTGGGGTTCAAATGTGCTAACAAATACTGCGAGTAGTGCAAGTGTCGAAACTAAACCACACTCTATTGTGCAGGATTGTAACTGGTCCAGATGCAACTTGCGTATTTATATGACCTTGAGGGATCAACGCAAGGCTGGGATTGGTTAATTCGAAGGAAACGGTGTAGACTATGGTCCACCTTTCACTGTTGATATATTTGGCTCACTATTTTTTATCATTAAAAGCAAACATCAGTAGGCTTCTTCATGCATTTCCGAATTCGATTCATGTTTATTTTGCTCGATATTCCACTTCAGAATCTGAAAAGTAGTTATAATAAAGCTGTCAAAATATGGATGAGAACGTTAACATTTATTTTTAGAACTTGTTGTTACTTACATGCAGAATAGGATATCCAAGTGCATGGAAACTTTGACGACAAATGCATGCAGCTCACTGTCAGAATTTTTATTCAATTTATTATCGCAAGATTATGCTTTAGTCACTTTTCCCGTAAAAGGTTCAAAGCACTATATCTTTAACTGGGTCTCAATCAGCACCGAACTTTTTCACCTTTATCTTTGCCACTCTTCCTACAAAGATTTGACAATTTTCGTTTGCTAGAATGATCTCGCTAAAAATTCACCACAGAACCCAGGGAAATCAAAATTATCACTTTCTCAGACCTCTCTATCAGTTGTCTGTGCTATTTTGGTACGAGTTTTATGTCTGTTAGGCTGCACCGAACACACATCCATAATTCTTATCGATCACAATGGGATGACAATGGTGGATAGCATTTCCGTACGGTCACAACGCCAGTAGGAGGGCCCTGATCCACGTATTCCTCCCATGGTTAAGTTATTTGGGT